GGCAATCTCCCCTAAAAGGACCAGCTTTTAGGGACCAAGCCTGCTTACTGGAACGCTTCTGTTGGCAAGTTATTTCCCAATCTGAGCCAAACCCTTGCATGACTCTTACCTATGGATCACTTGGACAGCAAAGTGCCTTCTGCCCCTGCTCAGCCAGGAGCCTGGTTTATCCCATCCTGCTCTCAGGACTCTTCCACTTTGGCCCCAGGTTATGGTTCCCAGCTCCTGATCTGGGGGGGATGGGCCCTGGGGCCCCGGACAGGTACTTCTACCCTAGCAGGAAAGCTGCCTCTTGACCAGGGTAAAGGAGGGAGCAAAAGGCCCCTGCTCAGAGCCTCAGAAATTGGATGCCCCACAGCGCTTCCCCACATTAGACCACAGAGAAACTGTGAGGAATAAGAAGTTAAGCTGGGGGGTGCCTGGGTGGCTCAGTGGGTTAAGCCTCTGCCTTCGGCTCAGGTCATGATCTCAGGGTCCTGGGATCAAGCCCCACATCGGGCTCTCTGCTCGGCAGGGAGCCTGCTTCCTCCTCTCTCTGACTGCCTCTCTACCTACTTGTGATCTCTGTCTGTCAAATAAATAAAAAAAAAAATAAAAAAATAAAAAGAAGTTAAGCTGGCCACAGACAGAGGGTCAGTCAAGGCTCTGGAGCACTGTCTCCCAGGCCCAACCCCTGGGATGGGGCAGTTCTGCACTTTGTCCACTCAGTGCTGCCTGCCAGGTGACCCTGAAGGCATGTCCACTAGCTGACCCTGCAGAACCTTGCTCACAGGCTATGAGCACGGCCTGGACACAGTCCAAATGTTCCTTGGTGTAATGGTGCCAGGCCTCTTGGGGGCTGATGCTGTGGTTACAGCTGGCTCACCCACCAGCCTGCCTAGTGCTCTGCTTCCTCATTCCCCTGCCAGTATCCTCTGGTGAGGGGGTGGGCCTGCTCTTTGCAGAGGCATGGACACTCATTATCCACTCACAGATGGGCCCACACAGGGACAGGAGGCTGCAACAGGATCCGGTTTATTCTGCCATGGGAGGGTGGTCCTGAGAGTGGTGGGTGCCACCCTGTCCCGGGCGGAGGGAGGGCCCAAGGGCCAGTTAAGGCCAGTGGCGGGAGAAGCAGGGGGCACGTAGCCCCTGGAATGCGGTGAGGCCAGGCTGAGGCCCGGAGGCAGCTGTGGTAGGCCGGGGCCAGTGCCCCTGCTGCCCAGGGTGGAAGGCACCGGGCTGGGACCGGGCCATGGCTATAGGGCCGTGGACCCAAGCCACATGGGCACCCCGGGAAGTGGGGCACAAGGTCACATGACACGGAACATGAAACACAGGCACACGGCTCATGAGTAAGCACATGGACAACTGGGCACAGATTCACAGGCCCCAGAGGGATACCCAGCCTTGGCCGGACACATGGACACAATGGTGGTGTCATACACACCACGGGACACACGGCACTAATGGACATGTGGACTCAATGGCTACAGGGGACAGACCCAGGCCATGGAGTGCAAGGACAGGGAAAAGGGGCCTTTTGGCACGACTGCACTAGAATCGTGAGAAGAGGGCAGTGGGGACTGGTCTGGAGGCACCTGGGGGCAACCCCCATGCAGAACCCCTCGGGGACTCAGTCTGTCTTCCACACTTTGTTGAGTAGCTTCACCACTTCATCGTAGATGACAAATACGATGGCCACGTCCAGGCAGACCCGGCCCAGGCGGGGGATGGTGCCCTTGTAGAATCTGGGGTTGTGGGGGGAGAGGTAGGAGGAGAGAAGGCAGATGAAGAACAGTGTCCCTGGACAGTGAGAGTGGGTCCAGGGATCGGAGGGACAGAGGACAGGAACCTAAAGGTAAGGACTCCCTGAGGGATAGCCTGGGGCTGCCAGCAGGTATGGGGTGAGGCCCAGGTAGAAGGTTAGGGAGGGCCTAGGGTGGGGACCACAGCCCTGCCCCTCCCCCACTCACGCCTTGAGCCCCTCATTCCTCAGGATCTGCAAGCCACAGTCCCACGTATTCCGGTATTTGTGCGCCTCCAAGCCCTGCAGGATAGCATCATGCCACAGGGTTCAGCAGCTAGCCCTGTCACAGACTCCCTACCCCCTTCCTGGCCCCAGCCCCACCTGCATCCGAGTCTTGATCACATCCAGAGGAGTGTTCCCGAAGACACTGGCTGCACCAGCGACAGCTCCAAACACTCCGGTGATCAGTGGGTTCATGGGCTTGTTGGGGTTGTCCCCTGGATGTGGGTGGGAGTTGCAATCAGAAAATGATGGGAAGGCAAAGGGGAGGGCTCTTCAGGGCTGGGGAGGAGCATGGACCAGAGCCTAGGGGCCCCAGGAGGCCAGGTCCTGGCAGGGAAGATTGAAGAGGAGGAGGGTAACCCAGAGTGGTTGGAGGTAGGGTCTTGGGGCTGCAGACCCAACAATACATACCTCTGTACCAGTTCCTCAGGGAGGTCATGACGAAGAAGCGGATGGCCTGGTTAGATCCCTGCTTCAGTACAGTGGCTGTGAGGCCCTGGTAGGTCCCCTTCAGCCCTGGGGAGTCAGCAGGCATGGGAGTCATACTGGTGCCTTCCAGGCCTCAGCTGGGGAATGGGGAGCAGGGCGAGTGGCACACCAGAGCACCAAAGCAGGAAGCGGAAGTTCAGGCCAGCCTGGCCTAAGTCCCTGGCCCTACCTGAGAAGGAAGGTATTATGGCTTACCTTGTTCTCGCACAATCTCTCTGACCCCGTGGAAGAATCCTCTATACTTGGGGTTGGGGGAGGTCTGGTCATGGATGAACTTCACCTGTGAAAGGAAAGCAAAGGCCCTAGCTCCCAGGATGCCCCTGGAAGGGCACACTTGGCCCTTTGGCTCCCAGTCCCAGGGCTCATAAAGATCAGATCAGGGTTGGAGATGCAGCTCTTCACCTGGAAACAGGGCTACCGGAGGCCACCATGAGACACAAGGCCCCAGCAAGCAGGAGGGCTGGCCTTACCAAAGAGTTGCTGCAGTTATGTTTGCTGGTTATTTCCCACAGCTTAGGCAAGAAACATGTTATGTTTTCTGTTTATAAAAGCATTTTTTAAAAAAACCCCAACAGTCAGTTGTCCCATGCCTTTAGGACAGAGTCCAGTCTCCAGAGGAGGTCCTTTCTGCACACTTCCTGTACCCAGCCCCCCAGGCAGTTCCCCCTGCACACCCTGTCCTGTTCCAGCAGGACCCTCTCCACCTCCCTGGTCTCCATGGAGCACAAAAGCAGGATGACCCCAGCCACCCTAGCACCCCTCTGCACAGCCTCCCCCAACTGGACCCTCCCCACCTTTATGGTCTCCATGGGGCACACGACAACCACGGCTTCTGCCACACCGGCACCCAGGCCACACAGCAGTCCCCGAGTGCTGTCCAGGCGTCCCTGGGGATCTCGCATGTGGTTGCTGAGGAACTCAAACATCCCGAACCTGGAACGCCAGGCAGTGGGGTGAGAGGGGCTGCAGCCCCCGCGGATGCCCTCCCGCGGCCACCCACCCAAGCCCACCTCACCTGACCGCCGCTTTAGGGATGGAACCGTAGAGCAGGGAGCTGAGGCCTCGGTACAGGCCCAGGACGCCATGGCTGCGGACCGTCTGCCGCACGCAGTCCCCTGGATGAGGGGGCGTTCAGCGACCCCAGCCGCCCTAGAGACCCGCCCCCCCGCAGTTCCCCGCAGCCCACCAAGGCTGCTCCCCGAGCGCAGGGTCCGGCCGTGTCCTCTGGGTGCCGGCCCTCTGTGGCGTGCCGCCCCGCCAAGGGCAGCCCCCTACTCACCAATGCCCCGGTACCGCGGAGGGTGTGAGCGCTCGTCCAGCTGCAACTGTGTCTTCACGTACTCGGTGGGGAAGGTGATGCAAATTTCGATGCCGCCCGCCAGGCCGCCTGAGGGGACCAGGGACCGGGACTCTGAGACCACCGCCCCGCGGCCGGGTCGTCCCGCCGGCCACCGCCGGCACACCGGCCCCTCCCCCGCCCCGGACTTTGTCCCACTCCATTGGTGTAGGGGAGGCCGGGCAGCGTCCCCTGCCCCGCCCACGTAGTCCTGGCTAGGCGCGGAGGGGCAACGAGCCGTGCGATCCCCCACGCGCTGGCTAGGGACCGGGGCCGCGCCCCTGGGTCCGACCCGGAAGTGGGGCGGGGCCTCGGCGTCCCGAGCCCACCCGGAAGCGCGGTGGGGCCAGCAGAGGGGGCAGACTGGGGGTTCATGTCCCGGAGGGGCCCACCTGCCAGGATCGCCTTCCCCGGGTGCGTCAGCTTGGCCTTTCCGGACGCGGGCGCTGCAGCCGCCAGAGCGCGGGGAGCGGCCATGGCAGGCGAGGAGGCGGGGCGCCCGGCGTCGACCTCGGGTCCGAGCCTCCTGCTCTCCGCGCTCGGTCCGCGGCGACGGCGGCGGCGGCGGCGGCCGGTTATGGCCCGGGGGGCGGGGCGGTCGCGTCAGCTCCCGGGCTCCGCCCCGCGTGGTCCGAGGCGGGCCCCGCCCCCGGCCCGCCCCGCGCCGGCCGGGAAACTGAGGCCGGGGCGGGGCCGATAGCCCAGCCAATGGCCGAGCCCAGGGTCCTTGGGAGGCGGCGCTGTGCGCGGGCCTGGATCTGTGGGTCAAGGTGCAGTTTCTAAAACCCGCCCCGGCATCTGGCAGAATCCGGCACGGGAAGGAGCAGGTCTCATGGTCGTGGCGTCTGCCTGAGCGACCGGAGCCCCGAAGATCGGGATTGGAGAGATGTGCAGATCACTCCCTCCCCCATGGGGCACATGTCCCATGTGGGCTAGTCCCATCCCTGATATTTGAGGGTTTGGCATTCCCAAACCAACGGGTTGTGCGGCTACCATTCCCACTTAGGTATTTAGAGCTCCATGCTGAGCACGCAGGAAAAGATCCGCAATACACCCTGGCTATCTCCCTCTAGGCAGCTTCCTCCCTGGACCCACATCCCAAAGAGGCCCCAGCAAATCTTTTGTCCCCTGCTACCCACACCAGCATCAAGCAGGGAAGCATTGCCTTGATAAACCGACTTTAATATTCATGATCGGTAGGAGGCTCAGGGCCGGGTTAGAAGGTCCTTTCAGTTGCGTCTGCAAAGCGGCCTGGAGGGGGCAGCTCCGCCCGTGCAGAGGGAAAGCTGGTCGCCCCTCCCACTAAGGGCGGGGAATCCCTGCAGAGAACTTCCCAGGAAGAGAGCTAGGAGGCAGAAGTCCACCAGAGCTGTTCTTCTTGGGCAGTCAGTGGCCACCCTGGCCTCCCCTGGTTTGGGGATGGCTTAGAGGCTGCGATCACCGGGCCTCAACCAAAATAAATAATGTCCAGGTGTCCCTGCCTCCCATCAGGGTCCTCTGTGCTTTCGGGGTGACACGCTCCTTGAGGTTATCCCCATAGAGGTGTGTTGCCACTGAGCGCCCACTACACACTGAAGCCGTACACAGGAGGCTGGGCGAAGGCAGGTGCAGCAGCATATCCATAGGGGAAGCCAGCAGGGGCAGGGCCTGCCCCAGGGCCTGCTGTCAGCATCAGCTGCTGGCCTGCAAAGGGAGAAGCAGAAGGAGGGTGAGCAGAGTTCCTGCGGCCCCCGAGTGGCCAGGGGCCCAAGGAGCAGGGTCGAAGGCCAGCCCTGACCGCCCAAAGCTCAGGCACTGGAGAAGAGGGGCCTGGGGACAAGGACAGTGGGAGTTGCTGCTGTGGGGCCAGCTACAGAGGCTGGCCAGGCTAGGGGGTAAGCTAGTCCCAAAATGGGACACTTACTTATTAGCTCAACTGGCTGGGTCTCAATCATGCCCATCAAAATCTAAAAAAACCAGATTGACATTAATGGTGGTGGTAGGAAGGACACAATGACCCTGAAGAGGACACAGTGGTGGGAGACGTGCTGCGTGCTCACACCACACCCTCAGGCCTTTGTTAGTACCGCAACACACTCCAGAACCCACAGCCTTTCGGTGCAGAGGACACCAGCTAATCTGTTCAACCGCCAGGCCATTCAGGCAGGCTCTCAAGTCCAAGTCAGCAGCAGCCTCGCTGCCTAAGAGCAGGCAGAGCAGCAAACAGCAGCAGCTCAGAGTTGGGCAGCGGCTAGGCACACGGAGCAGGCAGGGGCGCCCTCACAGAAGGCAGGGACCCTCAGGAAAGGGAGGACAATGGCCGCACCTCAACATTCTTAGATACTGACCTTCTCCACACCCGGCAGCCATTGTGGCCCTTCTGTCCCCCACCCTGCCCATTCCCTCTCTGATCTGAAGCCCAGCCAAGGAAGGACTCCCCTCGCTAGGGGCAGTGGGGTGCCACCTACCGAACAGGAGAGGGGCGGGCTCCGCCACATGCTCCTCTCGCTTGCGCAGGCTCTCCGAAGCGTCCAGTCTGTCTACCTGCAAAGAGGTGCGAGCACTCAAGTACCCACCTGACAGGCTGTGTTCAGTCTGGGCCAGGAGGTGAGTGTGGGGCCAGAAGGCAGCAAGCACAGCCTCCAGAAAAGTCAAGTGGGGATGGCTGGAGGGCAGACGCTGTACCCACAGTGACTACTGCCCTGCTCTGCAGGAAGGTGAAGCTTCTATAACTGGGGGGACATGGAGTGCCCAGGGGGGCCCTAATGACACCCCCCCCCCGCCGCTGCTCCACCACAGCAGTGGCCGCTGACCACATGGTGCACGTGCATCATAGCTCACAGGGCTGGGCTCTCCTCTGCATACAGGGGCACCTCCAGGACGACACAACACTTCCTAAATCTAGCTAGTCCAGGCTGCCCACCCCTCCTGAGGAGACCAGTCACTTGACATCTGGGACATCCCACCTGGCAAGGCGGATGAGCCACTTCAGAAATGGGGGCAGTGACAGCCATCTGAGGACAGGCTGCCTCCTTGCTCTTCCTCAAGCCTTTACCACGGGCTACCCCATGCAGTACCCATGGGCTGGAGTAGACACACAGAGGGGGAGGGAACAGAGCAAGGTGGTACCAGAGGCCTGAGGGGCAGATAGCACTGTGCTAGCTAGCGCAGGCGATAGCAACTGTGTTTCTGGGACCCCCCCCGCCCCCACCAAAATAAGCACTTGAATCAGAAAGAAGAAAAAATTATGTGCCCTGTGTGTACTCGGGCCTGGGAGAGAGGCGGCCAGGCACCAGAACCCTAGCAGAAGCAGCCTTGTTATTGGTCCGGTGCACCCCTCCCCTTCCCTCCTTGGGACCAGAGCTGAGGTGAGGAAGGAGCAAGACAATGCAGAGGACTTGCAATCCATACTCTCTTCCTTCAGCTGGCTCCCACCCAGGCTGAGGTCTAAGCGAGGCCTGTATCCTCCACTGCGAGAGCCAGGGGGTTCAGGGATGTGGGTTTTTCTCAGAGGGATGGTCCTCAAGCTTCCCAAATGAATCAAGAGGCCCTGGGCCTGGTTCTCTAGGCAGGAAGGGCCTGGGGCTTTCTTGTCTGGGCCTTTCCACCTCATAGCAGTCTAGTCTGTTAGGCCCCAGCCCACATCCCACCACTGCCTAAGAAACCTTTATTGAGCCCACCCTATCCCCAACATGACAAGCATCAGGTGTGGTGCTGGTGAAGGAATGTGGGACAGCAGCCTGCCTTCCTCCCAGGCTACGGGAGGTGTCTGGGGACCCAGGGCGAGAGAGCAGGTCCTTCCAGTAGGAAAGCAGCTGTAGCCCAAGCACACTGCTCCACTCTGAAGTAGCCATGCAGCTGCAGTGTCGACCAAGGTGACATGGCCACCAGGATGAACTCCATCATCCATCACAGAGAGGGAGTCTGCTCCTGCCTACCCCTTGAGGCCCCTTAGAGGGCCCAACCCCTGAGGCAATGAAGGTCCAAGTGATGTGAGTTCCTCTTATGTTAACCCATGGGCCTTGACTCTGGGAAGAGATTCAAGCTGTACATACCCTTATTTATGTAGGGGCAGAGCAGACAGACTGTGGCTAAGACAATTTAGAGATGGGAAAAGCAGAAACTGTGGAATAGTTTCTGAAGACAAGCTCCACACAGCACAGAAAGTTCCTTTAGGGAGCTGCCATCCACTGTGGTGGAGGAATTGGGACTCTTGTAAATCCTACCAGTCTGTGTACTTAGTAGCCTGGAGATCAGCCCACATCACCAGGACTGCCCCCTCCTATTCCCTGAAGAGTCTTGGGAGCCCTCCTGCTCAGATGTGCTGTGCAAATGGGACTAGGACACACTCTGGCAGTCTCTCCTCCTGTAGCAGGGAGATGATCTTGAATGACCCATGGGACAGTCCTTTCCAGAGGCTGGGCAGCTCCCAGGAGGCTCTGCAGGTGGCAGAAAGAGCAAGCCCTCTCAGGTCGAAGTTGGCAGTGCCAGATACCCTCTGCCCCTGCACTTCTTGTTTCTTCCCTAACCCCGCACTAACCCCCCTGAAAGCCCCCTCCCTTCCCTCACACCACTGAAAAAGACCTCAGCCTAGTGGTCTCTTAGCATTGTGGGGCCTCCATGTGGCTGGAAGAACGTGAGGTGTATGGCTGGATGGGCCAGTCGGTGCTACTGTGGTAGCTTTTATGCAGCCTTAGAAATAAACCAGACTAGGTGACAAGGGTCTCTGGATGGTGCCTCAACTAGGCCCCAGACTGGAATGTCTAGGGCTTCCACACAGGGAGAGTTAAAATCAGATACTCCTACCTTGTTAAACAGCTCATCAACTGGCAAAGAAAGCCAGAGTAGGAGGCTAGGGCCACCAAGTGGTAGAAGCAACTTACTGAGAATGAGTATGGCCTGGAAGGGCAGGGAGATATGCATCTGAGCCCACATCAGCTTTGGACCCAAACCTGTGCCTACAGCTATAGAGGAGATGACTACCTACCTACCAAGGCGTTACCATTCCTACTAAGTGCTCAGCAAAAGGGGGTTACCACGACAAATGCACCCGAACTCCACCGGAGGCACACTGAGAGGTGAACTGACCATATGGGGATGGAGCCCACGGGCTGTGCGCTGGAGCTGTGCCACCTGGTGCCTCGCTGTCCTCTCACCACAAAAGACCTTGGCTGCGGGGAAGCTCACCCGTCATGTTCCCTAGCAGTGTGCGGGAGAGCTGATGCAAGGGGAAGTGCTCAGTTCTATGCAGAGCTCCCCGAAGTGATTTTCTAGAATGGGTTAATGCTGGGCAGAAAACCACTCAACTGTGAAGGCATTAAGCCACTCTCCAAGGTGGGCAGGGCTGGCTGGGCCACCTGGGCTGACTCCCACAGGCCACCAGCCACCTCAGGGCCTCCACAGACCTGGGCTAGAGTCACAGCTGTGCAATGTAGCAGCCAGGAAGCCAGTGCAGAGGCTGTACTTACTTTGCTAAGGTACTCCCTCATCACCTGGATGAAGTAGGGCATGGCCAGGTCCACCAGGTTGTGTCTCCAGGCCAGCTCCAGCACCACATCCGGGGGAAGCAGGTCATAGCAGGTGAAGAGAGAAGCCGCGAAGCACTCCCGCTTGCCCTCATCCAGGAACCACTGCAGCAGCTTCTCAGCCAGCTCGGCATCTCTGGACTCTGCAGCATGCTGCATAGCGTCCTGCAACCAAGGCAGATGCACACCTCAGGTCTGTCCTGCCTGGCGCTGCCTTGAGTCCCTTTCTGGGTTGGAAGGATATGGAACAGTGCCAGGCTCTGTGAAGGCCATCCTCGCCTGCAGAGGGGTCTCTGTGCCTTGGATGCCCTCCGGTAGGAAGGAGTATCAATTCCAGGAGGGCCGTGGAGGGCACCAAGTGTGCTCCTGGCAGCAGGCTCTCACAGACCTGCTGAGACGCCAGAGGGAGGTGACATGCATGGGTGCAGCCACCCTGGGAGACGGGCTCTGGTCTTGTAGCTGGACTGGCATGCAAAGGAGTGCATGGGGCTGCTCGGGGGTAGGGCTGAAGAGGGATGGTAACAGCACTAGCAGGGCCAGATGTAAAGGTCAGAGTCGCTGTGCTTGGCTCAACAACCAGCAGTATCCTTGCAGCAGCTGCAAGGGCCAGCCAGTACTCAAGAAACAGCAATCTGCCCGTTCTTCCTGACAAAAAAGTCCTCTCAAAAATCCCTAATCGCTACTTTCATATTTGTCTAAAACATAAAGAATCATACCCACCCAGTGAGTAGTCATCAGTAAATTAGTGATTTCGATTTTCTAGCCACAACAGTGAGAACCGAACGGCCTGAACTCTTCTGGACCCTCCACCAGGCCTCTGCAGCAGGTGTTCCCACAGTGCCCTTCCAGACATGAGACTGAAGGCCGCAGGGGAGGCCTCTCAGTTGGGAGCCACAATGGGTCTCAAAGGCATTCTGCTTGCCCACCAACCGCTGCCTGCTGTGGCAGTCCCAGCTCCCTGCCTGCTCAGTCTTCCGACATGAGACTCCTACATGGGACCCAAAGTCCTCTAAGCCAGCTCAGTGGAGGGCCCTCTTGTCCCTGCTCCTGAAAGGAAACTCTCCCACCTGCTTGTTGCCTCTGCTGAGTTCTGCCTCATCCCCACACTGTTCCTACAAAGTCACCTGGCCTTTTTATGATGGGGAGCAAAGTCAGGGGCAGCTCAAGTGACAGCTCCAGGATACCTTCAGGTCTCCCTGAGCCTCTGACACCAATACCATCATTGCTCGGCACTCTACCCACGTGTCCTCCAGTCCAGCAGGGCCCACCCGTGGTTGGCTCATCTTTAATGTGCACCCAAAAGTGGGCACTTCTCTTCCTCCACAGGCCCAGGGACTGTCTCACGAACTCTCATAGCATCAACCGCCATCATCAGAAAGTGGACATTTCCGGAACCCTTGTGCTCCAACTGTCCAATGGCAGTTTCCTAGAGGATTCAGGGGCAATGAGCCCCACAGATCATCTCTCAGTCTGTGCCCTCTCCCTGCATCCTGAAGCTAAGCTTGAATCTCAGATTTTCCCACACCTTCCCACTTCTTATCGCCACACCTGACCCATGTCACTACTGGCACACCTCTCTACCTTGTCCCCCATTCCTCAACCTCCCTCCCAAACCACTGCCAGCACTTGCCAAGGCCCTGCTCCAAGCTCTCACCCTGTCCTTCACTGTCCCCAGTCTGTGACTACACCTCTGCAAGCTCCTGTCCTTCAGTCATGGGCACGAGGGGGTCCGTGAACCCACACGCCTGTGTGTGGGCCCCTAGCTGGACTTCCCCATGTGCTAACACATCCCCTCATGCTCCACCTGTCCCGCTGGTTGTAACAATCCCAGCTTCCCACGTGCAGTTACCACCCTTCCCCCAACTCCACTGGCTCCTTAAAGTGCTTACCCGACAGCCAAGCACCGACTGTGCTTTTACAACCAACCTCTGCAATTTGGAAACATGCTTCTTATTGCTTTATGACTGTCCTAGAAGCCCGCAGTGGCTACTCACCAAGACCTCCAGGTGGCACACCGTACCCACTCTCCCAGGACTTCCACGCATGGCGGGTTCTGCTGCCAAGGCCTGGCTGACACTTGTGTGTGTGTGGTGGGGGGGTAGCCCGTGCATCGTGGGCTCTCTACCACCACCCTGGCCTCCACCTACTAGATGTAGCACCACTCTCCAGGTGTGAAAACCAAACATTCCCTGGGGGTCAGTGACCCTCACTGAAAACCAGGGCACTGGAAAATATGCCCACAACTTTCTGCCTGTGGCTTTGTCCTTGTGGGTTCTCCTCCTGGCACACGTTGCTCCGAGTGGGATTGCTGGTTGGAAGGGGCCAGATGCCCTGCTGGCAGCTCCCACAGCACTGCTCGCTCACTCACTCACTGCGCGAGTGATGAGGGGCCATGCACTCAAGACCCTGGTGTGTACACTGGCAGGAGGGGACAGCTGGGAACTCCTAGTCAGGAGCAGTTTCCCGCTGGTGTGTTGCATGCAGCCCCACTGCCTCCCTCTGGTGCCAGTGCCTGAGTACCCTGACGGATTGTCTCAGAGTTCCTCTGTCAGCACCCGAGGAAGGACCATGAGCACTGTCACTAAAAGGGAGGACAAGTCACATAACAATCCCAAACTGGAGGTAACAGTTGGGATGAAGCTTGACGTGTCCCTGATGTCCAGGGTTCTGTGGCGTTGGTCCATGTGCTGTGAGAGATGCCTGTCTTCATCCTAGAAAGGAACTCCGGAATGCCAAGGACAGTTCTCGAAGTAACACGTTTAGGTCAAGCTCATGGCCTGAGAAAAGGCTCCCCAGAGGCTCGTGGCATGAGGAACCCTTGGAAATCAGCTTAGCTACACAGCACAGGGCAACAATGGCCCTCTCATTCAAGTACAGTTTACCGCACTGGGGCGATGCTGAGGCCAGGTGGAGCGAAGGCAATGCCTTCAAGGGCCTGGGATCTCTCCAAGCAGCCCACCGTGGCTGTCAGAAGCCCGGATCCAGATCCAGACCTGAAGGTGGTACTGAGCCACTGCTCAAAGGCAGAAACAAGTATTATGAATGTAATTTTCACGTTGGGTGTTTTTGTTCCCCTATCTTGATCAACAGAAAGCAAAGTCAGTGCCAAGTGAATGCTGCCACACTCGGTGTGGATAGAGTGAGACTCACAAATGCCTGCTGGGAAAGATTTAGCTCCGCAGAAGCTAGTCTTCCGATCTAAATAACTGTGAAGAGGCTCTATGTTAATGACAGATAATAATCTTCACCCTGCATTCTACAAACATGTCCCCCTTAACTTTATCCTCTGTGTCCCCACCACAAGCATCTCCTGATAAGGGATTGTGGCCTTCTCACCACCCGTCCCCCCCCCAAACACCAGGAGGCACACATGAGCAGGTGGGGCATTGGGAACCAACCTTGTAGAGACGGTCCTTCTTGCAGAGCTCCACACTCTGGGCCCACCGGTTGTTGCCCTTGTATAGATAAGCTGCAATGCGCCTAAACTCAATCAGCTGGTGCTTCTCCAACTGCTGTGCCAGGGCGATGTTGTCAAAGTTGTCATAGGCATCAATAGATGCCCTCAAACCCTAGGAAGATCCGGGCCGTTCCGTGGGTGAGGGACACAGTAGAGTGGACAACCAAGAATTACTCATTGCCAGTTGCTGCCACCATGGCCTCAGCAAGGCTTCTCCCAACCCACCTCTGGCGCCCTGTGGGGCCTACAACCCCTCCTGTGCCAGGTCAGCCCTTGGAGAAGAGGGCTGGGGTGAGAAGGGGCTCTGCAGTCCCTGGGTTGCCCAACATTGGCTGCAGGGGTCCCTGTGGCAAAGGGAAGCCACTGCCCTCCAAAAGGGCTCCTTTCCCCACACCCACCTGGTAATCCTCCTCTTCTGTCAGTAGGTGGTTGAGGGCTTCATTCACACTCTTGTTGTTGTGGCTCTGGACTGACCGTAGGTAAGGCTTCACTAGGGGCAACTGGCCTGCCTGACAAGTCAAGAGAATGGTTAGGGCACTCAGGCAAGTCATCAGGGCACTAAGTTGGGGTCCCTGTGACACACTGATGGGCCAGCCACGTCTCCTTCTGGACACCCACAACTGATATGCCCTACACATATGAGCATGTGAAGGGCTGCCTGGGTTACTGAGTAAATGCCAGTTTCATCTGTGGATATTTTGGCTGAAATACAAAGCTATATCCGAAACCTGAAGCAGTTTGATACATTTAATCTTTACATTTTCTAGGGATAAATTAAAAAAAAACTACTTATTAAGGAACAGGGCTCCTGGGTGGCTCAATGGATTAAGTGTCTGCCTTTGGCTCAGGTCATGATCCTGGGGTCCTGGGCTCGAGCCCCGCATTGGGTTCTCTGCTCAGCGGGGAGTCTGCTTCTCCCTCTCCCGCTCCTCCTGTTTGTGTTCTCTTGCTCTCTCCAATAAATGAAATCTTTAAGAAAATGAATAAAATCTTTGTTTTAAAGATTTTATTTATTTATTTGACAGGCAGAGATCACAAGTAGGCAGAGAGGCAGGCAGAGTGAGAAAGGGGGAAGCAGGCTCACCGCTGGGCAGAGAGCCCAATGTGGGACTCGATCCAGGACCCTGGGATCATGACCTGAGCCGAAGGCAGAGGCTTTAACCCACTAAGCCACTCAGGTGCCCCAAAAAACGCATAAAATCTTTTAACAAAAATAAAAATAAACTATTTACTAAGGAACTACCATTCAGATGACCTAGATAACCTTGGCCCTACATAGCCTTCTCTGGCTCTGGGATGCTGGGTCACTCACCTTTGAAAAGAAGCCAACAGTCCGGGTGTGGTCTAGCCGGGGTGCCAGCACAAGCAACAGGTCATTGATGAGCAGAGGTTTGTAATCCAAATAGAACTGCAGGGCTTTATAGTAGAGCTCCACATTGGCAACCTGTGGGTGGAGACAGAGACACAGTGGAGACAGGGTTGGCCCCTGTCAATCCCCAGGCTGCCGCCCACATGTCTCAGATGCAGCACACTCCACCGTAACTCCTTCCGGTTTGTGGCCAAATGCACTTTATCCGTGAGTGTTGTTGTGACTGCCCCCTTTAAGACCAAACACTCCCTCTCCCTCCCAACATGCCCTCTTTCCCACCTCTGACATTTTTCTCCTCAGCACTGCCCCTCAATGACCTAAGAGGTAGACCTTTGTTTCCTGCCTCGCCCTACTATCTGTTTGTTGCAGGGCTGATGCTCAGCTCATATATGTCGAGTGAATGAATGAGGGGTAACAGGCCAGGATAAACCCAAACACTAAAACACGGTTTTATCCAAGCAAGATTCCCCCAAGCCTCCCTGCAAAGCTCAGCCTGAGCTGTAAGCAAATTTGTAATGCATAGTATTATGTGTCACTGCTCTCAGACAAGACACCATGGTGTTCAGACTGGGCACCCTGTTATGCAGAGGGTTGAGTCGCTTCAGGGTGACCCTGTGCCCCTAGGAAGGCCACCCTCCCAAGCCTGCTGAAAGTGGGGCCTGGTGCTCAGAGGACAGCAAGGTGCCTCTTGCCTCCAAAAGGACGTGTGCCAGGTCTGTGGTGAACAGCATGTCCAAGGGAACATGCAGCAGTCCAAGGGTGCACACAAAGTGTAGTGTAGAAACATTAGTCATGCTGGGCGGAGGGGGTAGGCACAGTGGGAGCTTTCTAGCAACACTAGGTCCAGGTGAGCCAGCAACAATGTGGGCCCAGTGACATGTGCAGACCACATGGAAGAGGACTATCTACAGCCCTGGTCATTACTGGTATGCTGGATGGTTACTGTCTTTATCTTCCTCTCCACCCCCTGACTTGGACGTGCCCCTCTCAGAGCAGAGCACTCACTGTCACCACAGATTCTGACCTACACTGGCCCCGGGTCCCTGGTGCTGCCCGTCAGTGATCCACTTGCATCAGAGCCCTGGAACCTGCTAATCTTCTAGCCAGGCCCTTTTACTCAATGGTATCTGGATCCAATCAAAGGTCTCCAGCCAGACTAGATGTCTAACAATCAGAAAGGGAGTGGGGACGTAAGGTGGGTTGGAAGGGAAAGGGCACACTGTCCCTGCCTTCTGAACAAGTCATTGCAGCCTTCACTAAAGCATAGTCAGAGTGCTCCACATCCCTCTGCTTAAACAGTGGAAGGCAGAGCACAACTGGCCATGCTCCATTCCCCCACTGCAGTGACTGAGAAGCTGGACAAGACCTGGCCCAGCCACTCTGGGTGGGTGTTGTATTGGGCTGAGCCACCAGTCCGGTGACATGTGGCACTCTGAAGCATCCACTGCTCCCATCTAGGACACTAGCATCTGTGTGGCACCCTCTTCTGGAGCCATGCACCGGAGGGGAGCACCAACAAGGTCATACCCATTTGTGCAGTTCATAAGGACAGCCCCCGCTGCCCCAGGACTAGGGAAAGGGCATTATTCCTGTTTTGAAGAAGAAAATCAGGCTCAAAGATTCTGTCATGAGCTCAAGGGTGACCAGTGAGGGTGCTCTGGTCCTGACACTTACTGTGCTACCTGTGAGAAGCACCTACTGTGGGCCAGGCACTTGCTGCTGATCACTTGGCACGCAGGAAACATGTCATTTTATGGATGGGGTCAGTGAGTTCATAGTGATGACACTAGCTCTAAGTGACAGAGAAGGCAAATGGCTGAGATGCAACCAGGTCTGTGTCACCCCTGTCTGGCCCTCCACCACTCAGTCCTATGACCAAGTGATTCTGAAGCTCTCCTGTTATGTGCCTACAACGTCCTCCCTGCCAGGCCACCACACCAGCTGGTGTCCTCTACCCCCCTCTCTCCTCCACACGCGAACTGACAAGTCTCTCACATAGCAGAGAGGCAGAGGCATCGATGTGTTGCACCAAGAACAGAACTCAGCTGTCAGTTGCGTGAACACTGTTTTGTCACAAGATATGGTCTTGTCAGGGCACCTGGGTGGCTCAGTCAGTGAAGTATCTGCCTTCAGCTCAGGTCATGATCCCAGGGTCCTGGGATTGAGCTCCACGTCGGGCTTCCTGCTCAGCGTTGAGTCTGCTCTCTGTCCTTTCTCCTCCCTGGCTTGTGCTCTCCTATACACGCTCTCTCTCAAATAAATAAAATCTTAAAAAAAAATATGTTCTTGTCTGCAAGCATGTGACCTCAGACCCAAGATGTCATGCTGACTTCCATCTTTCCTCAAGAATCTTCTGATCCTGACAACCATCAAGGTAGACTGCACTCGGGTCATGGGCCACAGCAGCTGCCTGGACAGCTTATAGCACTCCAGACACTGCTAAGAAACAAAAAGCACCGCCGCCTCAACCATGGCACGTCATCAGCTTTAAAATGCACCCTGAGGGGTGCCTGAGTGGCTCAGTCATTAGGTGTCTGCCTTCAGCTCAGGTCGTGATCCCAGGGTCCTGGGATCAAGCCCCGCATTGGGCTCCTTGCTCATAAGGAAGCCTGCTTCTCCCTCTCCCTCTCCCACTGCTTGTGTTCCCTCTCTCGCCGTGTCTCTCTTTGTCAAATAAATAAAATATTTTTTAAAAATGTACCCTAATATCATTTGAGTTCCATGTGAAAAAAGCACGCCTAGAATTGATCAGGTATAGGTTTTCCAGCATGTTTTTCATGTGTGTTGGGGTCACAGGAATGTGAAATCTGCCTACCCTTCCATCAGCAACCTGCAGACCTGTAGAGAGTGGGACATGTGCAGAAGGCCACTGATTTCACATACCACCACACTGAATAGCACTGCTGTGTGTGACCTCCAGGGCTGAGACCTGGCTAGGTACCCCACCCGTCACCCACACCTGCCCTCAGCAGCCATATGTGGAACAAAGGCAGACAAGTTCCTGACCCAGATGGTGAGGAGCCCATGCCTGACCCCCCAAACCCTACCAGGAGAAACAGGACTGACACACAGTCAAAATGCTGTCTTTCACTGACAGACAGCAAATGGGAGAGACCTGTGGGCAAGTTATTCATGTAAGGCCACTGGGATAAAACAAGGACACTTAAGGCAAAAGGTCTGAGACTGATGACAGAAAGCTCCAATCCCTTCCTTCAAATACACAGATCTCACAGAGAAGGAGAAAATTGGAAGCTGGGCCCACTCTGAGCCTGGAAACAAAACAGCAGAGCCCTGCTCAGTGCTTGCACCCAGACCTGACACCTTCCTACAGTATTTGGCAGCTGGTGGAACAGTTTAGCACCCTGGTTCAGCCCAACTAGACTACTGGAGGGTGGAGGCTCCAAGGAAGAGCAGGGACCCAGAGGCCAGCAGATCCGGGCTCATGACTACCTCCACAGGTGCACCTGCTGCTCTGGGGCTAGCAGTTAGGGGAGAGACATGCAGAAAAAATATGCCAGGAGAGAGAAAATATGAAACAATACAACAGGAAATGGTATAGACAGGGTGTGGAGGTGGGTCCCAATCTGACAAAGAAGGAAGAGCAAACACCAGGGTCTGGCTGTTCAGGACCCTGTGTGGGAGTGAGGTAGGGAGAGTGGTCCTAGACCCTGCCCTGCCTGTAGCTTAGCTTTGGGGCCTAGGCCAGTCACTACCCTTCCTAAGCATCTGTTCCCTCTGTGTTTATGGAATCACCACCACCTGCACAGAGGGCAGTGAGACTCACAAGATGAAGGCAGATACAAATACACCGTAGGGAGCACACGTTGGCCTTCATTCTGCCTGCCCCTAGGACAGGCTAGCCAGAAGCAGATAGGAGCTGGTGCTCAGGCACCCTCTTACCTTGGCAATGACATCCTTGAACTGCCCTTCCCTCCAGGCGTCAGTAGGGTGATTGATCATGGTAAGGACGGCATTGTCGTACTCTTCGTACTTGTCATAGAGGAACACCAGCTCTGCCCAGAGGTGCGCCTGCTCTGCAGCTCTCAGCACCTGTGGGGACAGCCATGGCCAAGGGCTGGGCTTGTGCCACACATGCAAATAGCAGCTAGAACCTCAAAGAGGGAGAGATTACCTTTGGGATGTTGACTCGGGACCAGAAGAGCTCCAGGTGCTCTGGCATCTTCTGAGGCTTGAATTTGGAGTAGAGGATGGCCAGCTCTGTGAACATGCCCATGTGGGCCCGCTCCAGGCCCAGGGCCGCCTCCAGCAGAGAGATCAGTTCCTCAAAGTACCCCCGATCCTGACAGACCGACAGACATGCTTGATGTAGGGGTAAACCTGATTGGGGTGGCCAGCCCTGCTCCCTCTCAGTTACTCACTTTGGTTCCAGCCTGCCTGACATGTCGGCGCTGAGTCTGACTGGTTGCCATCACATTATTGCCCGAAAACCTCAGGGTTCACCCCCAGAGGACAATTTCACACCCTCCTCACTCCCTGTCTGCACGGTGTGGATAACTTTACTCCTGCTTCACTGAGAAAAGGAAGCCATTAGAAGCAAATGCCTGTGTTGACCCTGCCAGCATCTGTTACCTACTGAGGCTGCTGGGCCAGTAACTGTCCCTCTCTCCCTGGGCATCAGCTTCTCCCTCCACAGCTTGCCTTTAGCAAACATCCTGCTTATCCTCCCATCCTGAAATTCTCTTTCTTGACTCATGGCCTCTACCATAGCCATCCTATTTTCCTACTCTTTGCAGCAAAACCCCTCAGCAGCACCCTGCCTGGCTGACTGTCCCTCCCCGCTGGGCACAGACACCTTGTTTTCTGGACTTTCTTCTTACTCTACCCCAACCCACACTGGAGAGCCCTAGGCTCACTTCCTGCTATTCTTTATCTGCTCCCCCCAACACCCCACGACCTCACTCAAGTTGTGAGTCTTTATGCCCCATCTGTGTGTCAACCAATGACTCCTATTTCATTTCTCTAGCTGAGTTTCTTCTCTGAGCTCCAGGCCCTGTTTCCCTCTGCCTCTCCTGACACCTCTATGTGAACATCCAACTGGCAGTTCAAACTTGGTATGTCCAAAACTTAATCCCCATCCTTCCCTTCCACCAGTCTCTGCCTTTAGTCTTCCCCATGTCCACTAGTGAAAACTCTATCTCTAGTTGTTCAGGCCCAAAATAAATGGAATCATCCTTGACTTTTTTCTCTCACCCACACATAATCCACTTGCATACTGACTCAGCTGCACACTCAAATCCCCTCAAACCTGACTGCCTGATCACTTCTTACCCCAGATCACTCGCCCCAGGGCTCTCCTGGTTGCCACCTATTGGCCTGTTCCTAGAAGAGGCTGTTCTCAACATGTAAGCCAGAATGGCCCTTTACCTTCAGGTCCCATGTCCTGCTGTGAGTCCTTCATGATGACCTATGTTCCCTCACATTCCTTCCGGGGTCCTTCCCCAATTATTTGGCATGTTTCGCCTCCGGACCTGCCGTGTCTGCTGACCCTTCCTTCAAACATCCCCATGACCAGGCCCCTCAGTTTCTCCAGGTCTCTGTTCAGGGTCCCCTTCTCAATTAGTGTGACCTTGATGGTCCCTTCGTGAAGTTTCACCCAGGCACTCCTGGTCTCCAAACAGGCTTCACTGCCCCTGTAACTCATCACTTCTAAACGTGATGTTTGTTGCCTGTCTGTCAACCTCACTGAATATAAATTCAACCAAATGAGGGTTTTTCTGTTTTGTTTACTGATAGCATTATCTAGAATAACACCCAATGTACAGCAGGTACTCCAACACTTGTTGAACAAATGAAATATTGTCAGCCACCAGACTGCTTTACTACTTTCCCTGTTTACTTTACAGTTCTATTTCTTGAACTTCTGTGGAATAGGAAAGCATATATCACTGAGAAGTCATCCAGCCTAGCTTGACATTTTAGACTCCAGTCCCTCACTTTCAGAAGCTCACAGGCCCTTGAACCCTGCGACTCACTAAGTACCCCCATAGCCCTTACTATCCTCTCAGTGATGGGGGGGCTGGGGATTGAATTCTATGGGAACAGTAACACTGCTGAGCAAAATCCAATTTGCAGTCTGCCCTGCAGATCCCACACATTCACACAGGCAGTTCTAGGACTCCCACAGACAGAGGTCCAGGGCCCGAACACACTGATGTCTATCAAACACTTGACAGCAGAGAGGAATTATGACACCAACACAGATAGCTCCCACTCTTCAAAGGGCCCCTGGTGTTCCCTACCCCAGGCTGGTGCATGTCCTCTGTCTCTATGGTACCTGATAATCACACCCTCTGTGGGCCACACCCTCTATGGGCCACACACTCTGGGGTATGGGCTGTGTCTCGACTATGACTAGTCCAGTGTTCCCAGAAAGTTACCTAAGGGTTATTCACACATGTAAGACACTGGCTAGGCTTCTGAAGGCCCAAGGACACAAGAAGAGGGGGGAGTACTCTTAAAAACACAAATACCAGCCAGCAGTGAGGTCCAGGATATCTAACAACCAATCTGATATGTGGATGGGCTGTCTAGCACATGGAAAGACTTTCCCATAGAGACAGTGCTTCATATGCCTACCTGTGGACGTGACACAAACTGAGGGGATGAGGGTCCCTTTATGTGGAGTGTTTAGGGGTCACTTGTCATCTCCACTGCCAGCAGAGATCATCTCTGGCCAAAGACTAGTTACCTGGTAATAGCGTATTAGCTCCTCCAGCTCATCTGCGTGAATGACAATGTGAAGACCACACAGCTGTGCAAGGCGGAACTCCTGCCCATCCACGCAGGCAAAGCACACCTATGGGAGGGAAGGCCAGACAGTGTGAGTGTCCCCCAGACAGGCACAGTGCCACAAGCCAGGTATGCAACTATAAATGCAGAAATACCAGCACACAGGGTTTTTAAAGTTAGATTCTGAATAAGTAAGTAATTGGAAGGTGAGCTGTGTGAGACTGGGAGAAAAAATAATGACATTTTTAATGTGCAGGCCATGGGGGCATTTGAGACCATGGAGAGAAAAGGGCTCATGCATTACTTCTAAGCCCTGAGGTGTGGCGGTCTCTTTAGGTGATACAAAAGCAATGCTGGAGTTGCAGGTTCAGGGTTTGAAAATGGTTTAACGAAGTTCAAGAATAATGGTAAAGGGAGCACAGATCATCTGAGTGCTGTTTATGTGGGAGGAGCTTACTTTAATAAATATTTTTTAAACTGAGCATTTGTTTTAGGCACTCTGTGGTATGTACACTTAATGATAACAAGTTCTAGGAAGTAAAAGAAGCCTCCTGGGCTTCTGCTCAAAAAGACTCATAAGGGGCCCCTGAGTTGCTCTTTCTTTCCTTCCTTCCCTTCATCCCTCCCTCCCTTTGATTTTATTTATTATTTATTTATTTATTGAGAGAGAGAGAGAGAGACAGAGACAGAGAAAAACACACGAGCAGAGGAAGGGGCAGAGGAAAAACAGATTCCCCGCTCAGCAGGGAGCCCCACTTGGGGCTCAATCCCAGGACCCTGAGATCATGACCTGAGCCAAAGTCAGATGCCACCCAAGCATCACTAAGTTGCTCTTCTTTTAATGGCTGAAGATGGACCTCATACCCACAGGCAAAGTTGGCTTCTCTTGAAGTTTCCCTACCTCCCCATCTTCTATATATACATGCATGTGTTTTCCTGGTAGACAAGGCAGAAAACTGAAATAAACAAAAATAACCCCACAACCCAGAGATAACTGGTCACTACTTCAGGACACAATTGTTACCTGCCGTTTTTCTTGTGAAATCTCTCTCTCCTATACTCACACCCAGAATAGAATTACCCTGGACATTCTACTTACTTTTCTCATGGAATATTGAAACCTCCCTTCCCAAAACCCTGCCTACTCATTTTGGTAGAGTTGCAATATGTACACTATTTAACCCTGCCCTTGATTTTGGACATTTATGTTGATTTTAATCTTTTATCAAACAGTACTTCAGAGATTCACTGAAGCCAAATGTTTTGCACCTCTCTTTACAATATTTTTTCTACTTGCAGATAATTCCGATATTATCGGAGAGCTATAAGACGTGCCCTTCCAAGGGCCCCTGGGTGGCTCAGTGGGTTAAAGCCTCTACCTTCGACTCAGCTCATGATCTTAGGGTCCTGGGATTGAGCCCCTTATCAGGTTCTCTGCTCAACAGGGAGCCTGCTTCCTCCTCTCTCTCTCTGCCTGCCTCTCTGACTACTTGTGATCTCTTTCAAATAAATAAATAAAATCTTAAAAAAAAAAAAAAAAGACGTGCCCTTCCAGTTTGCTACAAAAGACTAAAGTGCCAATTTACACTGATAATACCACTAATAAGGTGGTTTTTAAAAATATCTTAAATTAGGACAGTACTTCTCATGCTAATTAATTCCATGCTATTAAGACAGCTTCTGGGAACTGACTGGTCCAACACAGAACTCTCCAGGGCCTTTGCTTCAACCACAATGCTAGCTTACAAGGTTCTCTGAGCCTTCCCAGAAGACTCGGAACCCTGCCTAGACAAGGCAGGCATCCAGATGCATCCCACCTGACACAAGGATGTGGAGGAAAGAAGGATAAGGAGGAAAGGATTGAGAGACCAATGGTCACCTGGAGACTTTCTATGCTTACCTCCTTCCACGTCCGTGTGCTGTTGGCCTTGCGGCTGCTGTCCACCGCTGCCTGATACTCCCCGAGGTGTACGAGGGTGGAAGCCAGGCGGGCAAAGTTAGAAACACTGCTGTACAGCAGCTTGGCGGCCTCATACATTCCCTCCTCGTAACAGCGGTCTCCAACCTATGAACAACCGGATAGCTTTGCTGAGAGCTTCTTAAATGGGAAGGTTCCTTAGAGATGGTCTAAAGTTCCTAAGTGGCAGGGGTGTTTCTGTTTTCAAAGAAGGTGAGTATCTTTCTGATCACACAGCAGCCTGGGCCACCACAGAGCTACTGAAGGATGAAGTGTGCCCCTCAGGCCCTGGACCCATTCTCCATCGCCTGCTCCTATGTCTGCTGTCTGTCATCTCCCAGATCTGCTCCCCAATGGGCCTGGCCTCAGAGGTGTGCTCCTTGCTGCTTCCAGGCCAGTCCCTTCCTCCCCACTCACAACTACCCACCAGAGGACAGCCTGCAGACCACACGCCAGCCCTGGTTCTTGCTGCCATCCACAGATCTCCCTCATTCCCTGACAGCTTTAGCTCTGAGGACCTGGTGTCTCTCATGACAACAGCTAGTCACTGTCAGCTGCCAACCCTGGGAAACCTGGCATGAGAACCTACTCTCTGCCTTCTGCCTCCCCTCCTTTCCAGCTCACTGACCTCCAGGCACCCCCAACTCCTGCCCACCATCCCCATCTGTGCCCAGCTAACTCTCCTCCTGGCTTGCTGGTGTTGGCAAGCCATGGGGCTCTACACTCACTCTCTTGGTTGTACTTGGCTGTACTCACTCGGCCAAATCCCAGTCCTGCCCAGAGATGTTCTCTGCCAACTCTACACCCAAGACTGCAGAGCTAAATTCAGATAGCTGAAACCCAAAGTGCCGCCTGGGCTCTCTTGAACTTCATGATGGTCACCCTAGAAGAACTCGCAACACTAGCAACACTACTCCCCCAGCCCAGGTACTCGATCCTTGTCCATCATTCATTTCCTGTCTTCTCTCCCCAAATCTCCAGCAGCTCAAGCTGAGTGCCTGGCTTCCCAAAACCTGAGGAGACAGACACAACCAGAAGAGTCCTTCCATAAGCACTGGGACTGAGTCTGCCCCCTTGCTCCATCTGTGGCCTCACTTAGCCTCATTTAGCCTCCCCTAGTCCATGTCAGCGGCCCAGCAAGCCTAGCAGTGATTTTGTTCTCTGTACTAAATCACTCCTACGTGGTTAAGGACTCAGAGATAAGGATTGGGCAGTACTATTCCTTTTCCTTTCACTTGCCTGTATTTACCAAGTCTTGTTTTAATCAGTGACCATAACTTTTAAAAATTGCCTTTATAATCAGAAAACTAATAAAGGTGTTAGAAAATGAAACCTTGTCTAAAATCTCCCTCTGAATTCATAACAGAATTCTCCTGATGAACTTTCAAGCCCTTTCAAAACTCCAATCAATTTCCAACAGTTCACTGGGTCTTACTTTGAAATAAAGAATCCAAAGTCCACTTTTGTGTTATTTATTTCAGTAAAATGTGTATATTCTTTCAAGTGGGGTTAGAATATAGTCCATTATCCTTTCATCTCCATCACTTTTTCTAGGGGTTAACACTTTACCCCAGGAAACAGGAGACTTTAAAGTTTTATTTAACATTTTTCCTTGAGGTCTGCTTAAACATTTTGGTGTTATTCCTACTTTAAAAAATATTCTTCCCATTATGTTATCTGGTAATTCCTGACATATGGAAAAGCTATTGATTTCCAACATACCTCTTCTACGGCCAGTTACTCAGTTCACTTTACTCTTCAGTGATAACAGCCAGAACACTGGCACATGGTCCTGACACCTTTTTCTAGAAGACTCACTCTGGTGTGCACAGCCAGGGGCCTTAATTTCCATATCAGTGACACTAACACAGGACTTAAGTCACGGTGTGGCTTGTTTCTCAGTGTCAAAGATCTGCACCACTCTAGGGACTGATCCCTGAAGCTGCCTGGAGCAGTCTGTGCTTCCCAGGGCATGGCCTACCTGCTGGATGTGAGCATTGTTGGGTCCATTAATACAATCTTCTAGCTCAGACAGACGGCCGGTTTTAGCCAGGGCGAAAATAAGTTCAGTCTCTGTATAGGATTCACGGCCTTTTTTCCTGGCCATCTGTAGAAATTTAACTAGATCCTCCCAATTGTCTAAAACAGAAAACAAAAACAGGTTAATTCAGAACTGCTAAGTTTAAACAGGAGGTGCAGCTCCTCCCATTTTGTCCCTAGTTAAGATGTTTAATCTCCCACTCTACTTCAGTGAGGGCTTAGATTCCAGATAAAGTCTAGAAGGACTTGTGTGGCTGCTACGCAGAGCCATATCCTAGGTGGGAGAGATGGAAGGGGCAGAACCACATGGAGGCTGATCCCGGGGATGGAAAGTTCCATGTCACCAAGTAAAGACCTCACCAGGAGACAGGATGATTATTGTAGCCCCAGGAAAAGGGAGTACCACAGTTAACTGGAAAGGCCAGAAGAAGCTCTGTCTCTAAGTTTCTGACCTTAAAATTATCATGATAGTGCTTATCCATCGTGCTATCTTGTCAACCAAAGAGCTAGTGTCTAGTTAACAGTCAGCTGAAGAGTTAGTGTCATTAACAGAATGAGAGTAATAGATTCTTTTGGAAAACTTTCACTTAGCGGTGTCCCCAGTATCTCTGGATGGGTAACACGGGCAGATGCCTGGGAGGCCACACCCTTCTCCAGCCAGGCTTCACACCAGTGAGAAGCAGAGCCCTGGGGAGAGGAGGTTAGCTTACTGCTCCTGCTGGCTGCCTGAACGACCTCGAGGTAAGAGGAAGGGTCATCAGCTCTAATGTAGGAGTCGATGGCTTCTTTCACCAAGTCTTTCTGGAGCTGGGCGCGGGCCAGCTGACTCCACACAGCAGGCTCATTGCATCTCTCTGCAAACTCGTATGCTCGGTCTAGGTTTCCAATGTGCTCGATCAGGACCTAGGAGTTACAAGAGGGCTCTCATTCTCCACAGCACCGAGTCAGCTCCAAGGAGCAGACAGATTTTTGTTCAGTTCATTTTGCCTAAAGTTGCATGACCATTTCAATTCAGTCCAAAGCAACTGGACATTAAATATTTCTCAGATGATGAATGGAGTAAAAGGATGAGACCTATTACTGTAAAGGTGGAAGATGCCAAGTGAAGAAGAGACACTCCCAACACAGGGCATTAAGAAATGAGAGACAGTCAAGCTTAGCTTTTTGGGCCAGGAGAATGACATAGGAGTTGCCTGGGGGCATAGAGGGTGTAAAAAGGAGCTACTGTGGGGAATACGATAGCTCAGCAGACAGAAAGCAGGCTTGAAGGAGTCTGAAGGGCTCAGGTGCAGCAGCTGCCCCTAATACAGTTTGATCTCAGAGCAAGGCCATAGACCAGGTATGAAGCAAAAAGAGGAGATGTGAGATTTCATGGGCAGGTACAGAAAAATGGTAAAAATGGTAAGGGAAAGAGGCAAGGACATAAAGAATCTAGAAAGACAGCAGTTAAAGTGATCTGTCCCATGGTTTATTTTACTTCATCTTAACTGTTTACTGTATTTATGGTTTTCATTGTAAAGTAATATAAGCACATTATGTAAAAATTGGGAAACTTTTTTTTATACTTAACCCTAAAATTTCTTACTTTCATTTATAATTTTTTTTATTGTGTTATGTCCCATGGTTTATAATTTTTGGAAATAAAACCAGAAAAAGTCAACAGGCTGGTAGGAAAGGGAGGAGGTCTAAGGGAAGGGCTCTTGGTGGGATTGAAGGTAGGCAGGAGGGCTGGTGGGACTGCTCTGGGAAACTGAGGCAGCAGGGGGTGAAGGGCTGAAACAGTCGTCATGTGTGAGGGCCTCTGAGAATCAGACACCTCAGTCACCAGGGCTCATCACATGACCTTGATTCAGGTACCCAAGTCTAGAGGAATGACCAGCAAGTGAGGGTGACTGCCACACAGCAGGAGCACCAGCAGAGTAGGAGCAACAGCCTGGAAAGATGGGTTACTGATGAACAGAAAAGAGCACAAGGATCAGAGAGACACATAGAACAACCAGAGGGTGTGACACCCTTGGTGATGATGAGGACACAGTGTGGCAGAGGTCCCTAGGTCTACCATGACAGCACCCAGAAGCTCACCTGGATTGCTGAGGCATTCACGTCAAACTTGCGGAAGATGGCGAAGGCCTCCTCATACAGTGCACTGCTGACGGCGATATTTGCAATGTCTGGGGCATCATAGTTGTCCAGGCGGCTGATGTATTCCATGACCCGCGTGCGGTCCGCCTTGATGGCAGTCAGGATCAGCAGATTCTGGAGATTCCTTAGGAGAGGTGGTGGTCAGCACAGTGTCACAGGAATGAAAGCTGTACATAACACTCTTCAGGAGGTTGACCAGCCCAAGGTCCCCGATTTAAAAGTATTTAAAACACACACACATATGACTGATGAATAGATACAAGAGTATTTATGAAGTATATACGGTCCAAAGTCTTGAGAAAGCAACAAGTAGGAGAAATCAGAAAACGACCAATCCCTGGAGGGCTGCTGCAGCTTCTCCAGGAGCTGCCTTCGCTCCCAATTCACAGATATCTATTTTTCCTGAACTGTACCTCTATTAGCTCTTTGTGGTTCTTTATAGCTCGACCATATAAATTGTGTATCTAGGGGTGCCTGGGTGACTCAGTCAGTTGAGGTCTGTTTTTGGATCCTGGGATCCAGTCCGACACTGGGCTCCTTGCTCAGTGGGGAGTCTGCTTCTCCCTCTCCTGCTCCCCCTTCTTGTGCTCTCTGTCAAAACAATAGTCTTTTAAAAAACTATATTTAAGCAATATAGATAGTTTTGCATATTTCTTTTTTTTTTTTTTAAAGAGTTTATTTATTTATTTGTCAGAGAGAGAGAGGGAGAGAGAGCAAGCACAGGCAGACAGAATGGCAGGCAGAGGCAGAGGGAGAAGCAGGCTCCCCTCCAAGCAAGGAGCCCGATGTGGGACTCGATCCCAGGACGCTGGGATCATGACCTGAGCCGAAGGCAGCTGCTTAACCAACTGAGCCACCCAGGCGTCCCTAGATAGTTTTGCATATTTCTGAACTTTCCTTTAATCATACCAGATACATCTTACAAAATTTGTTTTCTTTTGTCTCATTTAAAGATCTGGGGGGAAAATCGATTTAATGTACCATATTAAGAATTTAAAAAAGAAAAACAACATGATCATACTGTTGATTCAGAAAAAGCATCTGACAAAATCCAACACCCATTAATGTTAAAGACTCTGAGCAAACTAGAAATAGAAGGCAACTTCTTCAATCTGATGAAGGCTATCTACAAAATATCCATAGGTCTCAATGGTGAGAGACCGAATGCTTCCCCTCAGGATCAGGAACAAGATAATGTTTTTTCTTCCCCACTTTTATTCAACATTCTACTGGAGGCTCTAGTCAAGGCAGTTAGGCAAGAAAAATAAATAAAAAGCATCTAGATTAGAAAGGAAAAAATAAAACTGTCACTATTTGCAGGCAAAATGACTGACAGAAACTTCCAAGGAATCTTTGAAAAAAAAAAAATCCTAGGATAAATAAGTAAACTTAGCAAGATATCAAGATACAAGGTAAACCACTGTCATAGTTCTGTATACTAGCAACGTACAATTATAAACAAACAAAAAACCCCCCTTCTACCTATTTACAATAGCTCCCAAAACATGAAATATTTAGGTATAAACCTAATAAGACATGTGCATAATCTATATGCTGAAAAATATAAAAAAGCTCATGAGAAAAATTAAAGATCTAAATAAATGGAGAGACATATTGTATATACTCAACACAGTAGATACCAACTGTCCCCAAACTGGTCTACAGATCTCATGCAATTCCAATCAAAATTCCAGAAGGTTTCCCAGTTGATACAGACAAAGCTGATTCTAAATCTTGAATAAGAATAGAGTTGGAGGAATCATACTACCTGGCCAAGTGATTTTTGGCAAAGATGCAAAAGGAATCCAATGCAGAATGGATCCAACAAATAACACTGGAATGACTGTACAACCACATCAAAAAAATGAACCTAAACTTCACATGTTGTTGGACACTGGGCCACATATCTAAATGTAAAATGTAAAACTGCAAGACTCTTAGAAGGAATTCAGTGAGAATCTTTGACCTGGGATTAGGCACAGAGTTCTTACCACCAAAACACAATCCACGAGAGACATTTGACTTGGAGTTGATCCAAAAGAAAACTTTTGATAAGCAAATGATACCACTAGGAGAATAAAAAGACAAACTCCACACTGGGAAAAAAAATATTTGCAAATCCCATATAAAACAAAAGACTTGTGGGGCACCTAGGTGTCTCAGTTGGTGAAGCAACTGCCTTCGGCTCAGGTCATGATCCTGGAGTCCCGCACTGGGCTCTCTACTCTGCAGGGAGTCTGCTATTCCCTCTGACCCTCCCACTTCTCATGCTCTCTCTCTCTCAAATACATAAATAACATCTTTTTTTTTTTTTATTATTTATTTGACAGACAAAGATCACAAGTAGGCAGAGAGGCAGGCAGAGAGAGAGGGAGGAGGAAGCAGGCTCCCTGTGGAGCAGAGAGCCCGATATGGGGCTCGATCCCAGGACCCTGAGATCATGACCCGAGCCGAAGGCAGAGGCTTTAACCCACTGAGCCACCCAGGCGCCCCCATAAATAACATCTTAAAAAAAAACACAAAGTCTTATATCCAGAATGTATAAAGAACTCTCAAAACTCAACAGTGAAAAACCAAATAAGCCAATTAAAAAAAAAGGGCAAAAGATCTGAGAGACTCTTCATCCAAGAGGATATACGAAGGGCAAGTGAGCACAGGAAAAGTTGTTTAACATCATTAGCCATTAGGGAAGTGCAAATTAAAACTACAATGATGGGCCACTATACGCTTATTAGAACGGCTAAAATAAAAAATACCGATAATACCAAGTGCTGGTGAAGATGTAGAGAAACTGGAATTCTCACACATTGTTGGTGGGAATGCAAAATAGTACAGTCACTCTGGAAAACAATAGGTTGGCAGTTTCTTAAACAGTTAAACATACATATACCATATGGCTCAGCAACTGCTAGGTGTGTTCAAACAAAAATATGGACACATACATTTACAGCAGCTGTATTCACAGAACCCCAAAGTGAAAGCAATCCAACTGTCCTTCAGTGAGCAAGTGGATAAACAAACCGTTGTACATTCATACCACAGAACACTATACAGCAATAAAAGAGAATTATTGATGCACCCAGCTTAGATGGATCTCAAAGGAATTACACTGTGTGAAAGAAGCCAAGCCTCAAAAGACTGCATACTATGTGATTCCCCTTACATGACATTCTTGAAAAGGCATAACTGGATTGATGGTGATGAATCAGAGATGGGTGATTGTCAGGGGTACAGGGGATGTAACTGTAAAGGGTAGCTCACACGAGGGAGTTTCATAGTCAGGCAATTGTTCTATACGCAGACTGTGGTGGTTATGTACATGAATCTAGGTATGTGTTGAAATTCCTAGTATTGTACATCCCCCACAAAAGACCAATTTAACTGTAGAATTAAAAAGAATGGGAAAAAAGTATTAAAAAATTAGGTCCAAGATTCACCCATGTTGTTGTATAGCATTCCCTCCCACCGTGACATGGTACTCTGCTGGATGACTGTACCACAGCCCTTTTACGGATGGGTATCTACATTGCTCTCAGATCTTTGCTATTGGAAATAGTGCCTCTTTGTGCATTCTTGCACGTGTCTCTTGATACACGTGAGACGAGTTTCTTCAAGGTTCAGAATCAAGAGTGGAAACACTTTCTAACAGGTACTGCTTCCCAAGAGGAACACACATTCCCAACAGGGCACGTAAGAGGCCCAGCTGCTCTACACTCATCAAGGCTGATTAGGAGAGCTAGATGGCCTCGGCTCTGCAGGAGGAAAGGGATGGTACACAATGGCCAGACTGTGCTTCCTTGATGGCGGATGAGGATGCATGCTTGCCTTAGACTTGCAGCCGTCTCTCCTCTTGCTGAAGGACTGCTAAAGTGCTTTGCTGAGTTTTCTATCAGGTTGTTTGAGTTCTTCTTTCATTATATGTTCTCCATGCTAGTTTTTTTTGCTTATGTATGTTGCAAACATCTGTTTGTAGCTTCTCATCTTTTTCTCACCTTTTCTCATCTTATTATGATAAAGTTCTTAAGTTTAACATAGTCCTATTTACTAGTTTTTCAAATGGTTATATATTTTTGCAACTGGCTTATGTATTTATTAGACCACAAATATATTTTTCTTTTATTTTTTTAAAAAGATTTTTATTTATTTGACAGAGAGAGATTACAAGTAGGCAGAGCAGCAGGCAGAGAGAGAGAGGGGGAAGCAGGCTCCCTGCTAAGCAGGGAGCCTGAGCAGAGCTTGATCCCAGGACCCTGAGATCATGACCTGAGCTGAAGGCAGAGGCTTAACCCACTGAGCCACCCAGGTGCCCCTATATTTTTCTTTTAAACATAAACTCTAAAAACATGATGGTTTTTACTTTATATTTAAATCTTCACATTGTGTGTCATAGAGATCCAATTTTAATTTTTACCCATATAATCATTTGTCCCAACATCATTTTACTCAGGTCTATTATTTCCATCTGCATAGCCACTCTGTCATAAATAAATATTTTACATATTTGTGGTTATATTTTAGTGGGGATTACTTACTGGCCCTTTCTACTTCAATAATTTTTTTTTTAAGATTTTATTTACTTATTTGTCAGAGAGAGTGTGAGCGTGTGCATGCACAAGCAGGGGGAGTGGCAGGCAGATGGAGAAGCAGACTCCCCACTGAGCAAGGAGCTCGATGCGGGACCCAATTCCAAGACCCTTGAAACATGACCTGAGCAGAAGGCAGAAGCTTAACTGACTAAGACAACTAGGTATCCCTCAATAATGGTTTTTATATCAAAGTCTATTTTGCATGCTTTAAATACAGAAAAAATATATAAAAACATAAAATGTCATACTATATTAACATATAATATCAATATAATACCAGCATCTTTAGGTTTACATTTACCTAATTTTTAAAAATTCTTTTATTTCCAACTTCTCATTAATGTACTCTGAAGTCATATCATCCCATATCCTTTGGCTTCTACTGAGGCTGCTGAAAAGTCTGCTGTCAGTCTAATTTATATTCATTATAAGTAATCTATCTTCTGAGTATTTAAAAAACTTTTTTTGATGTTCCATAGTTTTGCTATAATGTGGATAAAGGTGGTTTTAAAAAATTCATCCTACTTGGGATTTGCTG